CCCCCCCCCCCGCCGTGGCTGTTGCTACCTGCGGACGTGGCAATCTGTTGGGCCACGCGGACACCTGCTGAAGACCCCCCTGGCTAGGGGGCTGCACCACATACATATATTTTTTGTTTTCTTTACTACACTGTTGCAGCAGCAGTTTGGCAACAGTTCAAGATTCCCCCCTGGCTAGGGGGCTGTGTGAGTGTGGCAGTAGGGTGGCTGATCAAGATCTCAGCCAACCCTAGATCATCATCATGTTTTTACTGTTGTGGCATCACGCCAGCACTTAGCAGAACTCTGCTCTTGGCAACCCAAGAGCCCAGTATCACCCTTCTACCACTACTCCCTACTCCTACCCTCCTCTCCACTCATCCTCCACAACCTTTTTCTCTCCTCTCCTCCCCACTCACCATCTCCCACTAATCTCATCTACCTCTCTCTACCTTTTCTGTATCCTTCTCTCCCATTCTACCACCCTCCTCTCCCCCTTCCCTCCCCAAACTACAACCCCATCATCTCTCCCATCTCCCACTTTACTTTTTCTTTCTCTTCTGACTTATTTCTCTCCTTCTTCATCACTTTTCCATCCCCCCCCCACCCAACTTCAAATTTTTCTGCTTTTCTTCTTTTCTCTTTCTCTTTCATTTAAAATTTCCCTTTTCCTCCAAAAATTCGAATTATCTTATTCCCTACTTCTTTTCTCATTTTTCTGATTTATTTTTATTTTTATTTTATTTATTTTGAAAATTCAAGTTTTTGTGCGGCACCTCTATATCTTGCTAGGACTTAGTCTTTTCTGTCGTCGGCGCACATTTTGACCCTTGGGGGTAACGAAGTGCTGCCGAAATTTTGTTTTTCCTCCCTACTTTCTTCTTACCGCACATTTTGACCCCTCGGGGGTAGCAAAGCGCTCGCCAAATTTTCCCATTTTACTTAGTCTTTTCTTGACGGCACACTTCGACCCCATGGGGGTAACGAAATGTTGCCGAATTTTTTGAAAAACTCCAAAACTTAGTTTCACTTCACTCTCCTCCACCCCCTTGTTTATTTATCTATTTATTTATTATTTATTATTTATTTATTTATTTATAAATTTTAATTTGCGGCATTTTGAAAGTTAGTGTGCTCCTCTTGCTTTCCTTCCTCTTGGCACTTTTTTTTTTTTTTTTTTTTTTTTTTTTTTTTTTTTTTTTTTTTTTTTTTTTTTTTTTTTTTTTTTTTTTTTTTTTTTTTTTTTTTTTTTTTTTTTTTTTTTTTTTTTTTAAGGCTAATTCTTTAAGCCCAATCAATTCAATTACCTGTCAAATATGGACAGGACGGCCTTTCAGGCCTTTTTTATTGTCATTATACCCCGTAGCAACCACATCCGTGCTCAAGCCTCCAACGAGGGAACATGCGGGAGCTGCACCCACCAGCAGGTGCGATACCTGCTACAGCAGGTGGGCGATACCGGCCAGGGGTCAACCGATAGCATCAGGACCGAGCTTCTTCAATGGGCTAGTCACTGTGCCTCCCCTCCGGTCCCCTCCCCCTATGAACATCAGCAGTCTCTGCTCAATGCCACTCGGAGGGACCAACGACATATCTATAGGTGTTAGGCGCCAAACTTGCCCAGGAAGGTACATGAGACCAATGGGGATTGAACCCAAGACCTCCTGAATGCCACTTGCGTGCCTTACCAACTGAGCTAGGCCGCTGGATCTTGGCACATTTTTGACCCCATGTGGGGTGGGAAAATGCTGCCGAAAATTCCAAAAAAATAAATATTCCTTCTCCTCACTCCTTATATTTTATTTATTTATTTATTTTTATTTATTCTTTTATTTTATTTTTTATTACTATTCTATTTTCTCTCCCCCTTCCCTCCATAGTTATTATTTTCTTTTCTTGATTAGGTCGCCGCTACTCCCCCTAACCACCTAAACTCCGGTGAGGGTTTTCTTAGGGTTTTCTAGGGTTTAGGGTTCTTCTAAACCTCCCCCCCCACCCCCCCTACTCTCCCGCCTCCTCCCGTCAGGCACCCTGGACCCGAACGGCTCCTCTCCCTCTCGACCGGATTCGCGCCACCATCTCACGCGCGACCCGTTGGTCACGGGGTGAGCTGACCCACGATTACCCACGCCGCTCTCGCGGTCCCCTCCCTCTCACCGGTGGTCCCCTGTCCCCATACCACAACCCATATTTCCCCTCACCTCCCACCATGTCTACTTCTCTCCCTCCACCGCCCACTGAGAGCACTACAACCGAGGAGATCGTCGCGGCGCAATTCACATCCCAGGTCACCGCGCAGTCAACGGCTCATGATCAAGCCCATGCGGACACCATGGACCTTCATGTCGTCCTTGTAGCAGTCCAAGCACAACTTAGTACGCTTGGACCATTGCAAGCGCAAATCAATGCGCTTGCCCTTGACGTCAACCGCCTCAAGGGCTCTCCCCACCGCTCTCCCCTTCACTCTCACACCCCATCCCTTGTCGGCTCACCGACCAGTTCCCCACGACTCCGTGGACACGGACGTGGTGGTTCTTCCTCCCCTGTGGCTCAGGCCCAACACTCCCACCCAGCGGTGGTGAGTGTCGCTACCGCTCAAACCACCTGTCTGTTGCAGCACCTCCTTTGGCCCCTGCCGCCCCTACCGTCTCTACTGCTGCTACAGGTGTTGCGGTCCAGATACCACCATCTGACCCAGCAGTTTCATCGACCCACACCGGTGCTGCTTCCCAACTTCCCGCATCGGTCGCGGCATTACGACTCTGCCCTCTTCTTCCCGCCTTCGTTCCCTTACTCCCACAGCAGGGTACCACCCAGGTTGGGATTCTTCTTCCCATTGGGAGACCCGCTCCGCCTCCTCCACCACCGACCTCGCGCACCCAACGAGTGGCCACTTTACAGGCCACCATTGCGCAGGCTCAGGTGGAGATCCTGGCCCTGAGACAGCCTCACCCCTCACAGGTTGTTCACCCTTCTTCTTCCTCCACCACCTCCTCGACCCCATCATGCCGGCTCGTTTTTCTCGACCGGCTCCTCAGCCTCTCCCCTCTTACCTAGCCATTTCGGGACAACTGCCCGCGGTCGTTGCCTCCTCGTCTACTGGTCCATCCGCCAGCGGCCACGGCCCACAACCTTCCCCCACCTCTGCCCCTGCAGCGGCCCCGACTTACGCCGCCGCAGTGCACTCGCCTCGATCTCTCTCCCCCCGCCATCAGCACAGTGGACATCCTCTTGTGCGCACCACGGACATTCCCGAGTATGATGGCACATCCCGTGTCTCTCGCTGGTTGCAGATAGCAACGAGCACACTCTCTATGACGACCACCCGTCAGGAGTTGTGGTGCGATGTGCTCGCAACCAAATTGCGAGGTAGCCCTTCCACTGCGTGGGAGGATCATTATGCCCAGCGCCTCCGCATGGGTGAGATCCCCACTCTCGCCGACTTCGCGGCCTTCCTTCAGGACCGCTTCGGCGCTCGTCATGACGCCACCGACGCCTTAGGCCGCGTCACCCACAGCAGATGGTCCGGGTCCTCTGTACCGGCCGACCTCGAGCGTCACATCCAGGTGTTTCAGGACGCTCGCCTTCTTTGTGACGAGACGTTCCTACCGGAGGTTACACTCACTGACCGGTTCCTCGTCAGCATGCCGACTGACTACCACTTAGAGCTATGGAGGCGATCATTCTCTTCCGCGGAGCAGGCATACGAGGCTGCGCGTCAACACCAGAGGATGTGCAGTCGCTTCTCCGTCTCCCCATCCTCTTCGCGGCCAGCCGCCACCTCCCAGTCTTGCGGTACCACCAGAGGCCGCTCCTCTTTTGCTGGTCGTTTTCGTCGCCCGGCTCGACCTGGAGCGTCATTCTCTCGACACTATAGTTCTCTCGAGTATGGCAAGGACGCTTTAGTCGAGCTCGACCCTATCACTGGGGACGCCCCCAAGGACATCGACCTTCGGGACGTCATCCAGTACCACTTGGATGACGACACTGTCCCAGTGGCCGAGCGCCTGCAGATGGCCATGTCTGCCATGGGTCGTGCACGCAGTCGGGTTGCACAGTCTGGCGCCCGCACACCCACAATTCCTCAGATAGACCTCCTGCAGGGTTTTGTCCCTCCTCGCGGAGCTCTATCCCTGAGGAGCATGCTGCCCTTGAGGCCCAGCGTGGCTGCCTTCGTTGCCGCCAGGATGGACACACCTCCTCACGGTGTCCATACCATACTGCCCTCGATCGGCACTACACTGACATCTCTCGTCAGCGTCGATCTCAGTCCCCCCCCGGCCCCGCCCGGCCAGCCCTACCCAGCTAGCCACGGTGCAGTGTACCACCGAGGTCTCGCACGTAGCCGGCTTCCCGACCACCGAGTCGCGGTTTGCCATTTTGGCTACTCCGCCAGAGGATCCTCAGGACACGACAGACGCAGTTCCCTCTACCTCGTCGTCTGTCGAGGTACCGCGTGCCTCACAGCAGACCGCCACATCTAGTGCTTCCCCTCCGAGACTTCCGACGCGTCGCGCCATTCGCACAGCCCGTTGTAGCGCTCAGCTGGCGACTCGCGATGACGTTGTGTCATCTCTCCTGGACTTTAGCATTCTTCAGGCTCGTCAGGAGCGACTCACGAGACACGTGAACGTCATGCGTCGTCTTCTCGCTCTGCTTTCTGATTGTGATCGCACCCTACCCATTATCCCTATTCGCCTAGGGACATCTACGAGGGTGTGCCGCGCTTTATGGGACTCTGGCTCGCAGGGGGATTTCGTTCACCCTCGAGTGGTTGAGGAAGCTCGCCTAGCTACCTCTGAGTCTCGCTCTCCTATCTCCGTTACCCTCGGAGATAACAAGACACAGCGCTTCTTCGATCAGACGGTCCCCGACCTCCACTTCTCCCTCACCCTCCAGCCATCGGATTGTACCCAGGCACCTCGGCGCTACCATTCCTCCGCATACTTCGACGTGCTGAAGACTGGGTACGACTTTATCCTTGGCACTCCCTGGTCTTGCCAGTTCCGTGCCACAGAGGCCGATTGGGCGACCGAGACACTCGTTCTCAAAACGAAGTGTGGTCAGACCCATCGCGTCCCCTACATTGGGACCACGGGCGACACCCCTCCCGACCTACCTCCCAAGGACCCTCGTCCCTCAGGGTCCCACCCCAACATCGCCTTCACTCTCCCTCGTCAGTTTGCTCACTTCATACAACAGGAGGACGTCACGTTCTACTCAGTGAACGTCATGGATCTTCTTCGCTATGATCCACTCTGTCCTGAGGTTGAGCTCATCTCTCTGGAGCCCGATCCCCCTGACCCTTCCTCCATCTTTGCGGCTCCCATCTCTACGTCCACCCGTCAGCCTGCGGATACCCCCTCCACGTCCCAGGCCCCTGCGCAGTCGACTGTCGAGTCCACACATACGTCTCGTGTCGACGCAGACGCTGAGGAACTCACACGGTTCACCTGTCAGGAGGTGAACAATGCGAACCACCTCCCGTATGGGTTACTTCAGCCCTTACCCATACCCGAGGGTCGTTGGCAGTCCATCTCATGGATTTCATTGGTCCCCTCCGCCCACCTACTGAGTGTGGTCATGATGCTATCTTGGTCGTCGTCGATCGCTTCACGAAGCGTGCACGTTTTGTCTCGTGTCGCTATCGCATTAGCGCTCATGAGGTCGCCGACATCGTCATCGACCGAGTCGTGAGAGATCACGGCTTACCTCAGAGCATCATCTCCGACCGTGACCCGCGCTTTGCCAGCACGTTCTGGCGACGCCGACACGAGGTGTACGGATCTCAGCTCCGCTTCTTATCGTCTTACCACCCTCAAACGGATGGTCAGACTGAGGTCACCAATAAAACTCTCGGTAATATCCTCCGAAAGTTCGTTAGGGATGACCAGCAGTGGGACTTACACTTAGCCCACGCGGAGATTGCATACAACCACGCTGTTTCGCCAACCACGGGGATGTCGCCATTCTATTGCGACCTCGGCTACCACCCTCGCGTACCCGCAAACTTCCTACGACCATCGCGGTTGCGCCCAGACACTCGTTGTTCTGCGCTTGATGATTGGACCGCCCACATGCCGACGCTTATGAAGCGCGCATACGAGAGTCTAGCCAACTCCCAGACTCGCATGGTCGCACGAGCGAACCGATCACGAATGGATCATCCATTCAAAGTCGGTGACGA